CCTGGACTTCACCTTCTCCATTAGAGCAGGTTACTGACATGCCACACAGAATCACCAAGTTTTCAATATGGTGTATCTTGTGGATCTAATACTGCATCCTCTGACTTACTTAAGAAATAACTACAATCTGTCATCCACAGATAATACAGCATATTTTACAACGGTTAAATTGGCTGGCTACATTGATATTGGGGATTCAATTCAATTCAATGCAGCTTTATTTGTATAGCGCTTTTACAATGTAGATTGTGTCAAAGCAGCTTCACATAAATGGTCATAGTAACTGGAACAATGTAGTTCAGTTTTTAGTGTTTAAGTTCAGTTCAGTGTGATTTAAAATCATTACTGAGAGTTCAACACTGAAGAGCAAATTTATCGATGCATAGCTCTACCAATCCTGTTAAGTATTTGTTTTTTGTTGATTTGAACTGAATGTTGAGATCATGTAGGTGAGAAACACAAACCTGGGGCATGAAAACTATTTGCGGCATTAAATCCCTAATGAAAGTAGAGTTGAAGAGTATGGGATATACGTATGGGAAATATAAATGAAAATTCTAAATTGATTCATGGATGACAAATGTGATCCATTCCTAATTAGAAATACAGTCTAAGTTTGACCGTCCCTTAAAATTGGAGTCAGATTACATTTGGAGCTGGAAACAAATATGAATAAATTCGAATAAATAACAGAAATCTTTTTAGAAGCTCCAGAAAAGGCTTACATGCACCTAACATTTGACCATTCATCGGATTCCATCATTGGGCTGATAGAAAGGAACCCTACACATTTCTCCTAATCAATCATTTAACATAACTTGAAGTTGATTGACTGAAGGTGAACATCTTGTTTACTTGTGTAACCCTTATTCCCCAAAGAAGGGATCAAAGAATTTCAGCCTGATCTCACGAGAAAACAAGTATTTTAGGTTTTGCCAGTTTATTGGCTAATTCGTACGAATTCATACAAGTTCAGTCGTACGAAATTGTACGATTTTAAAAAGGAGGCATTGGGGGATGAGCAAGTCGTACTTAATTGTACGAATTAGATCATATGAAATCATACGAATTAGCCGCTAAATCAAAAAGCTACGAATTGCCGTGAGATTGTGTTAAGAATTTAGGTTCCCTTGCCACAGGAGCAGAATCACCAGCTGAATGCCTGGTCGAGTTCGGCTCTTCAGTGTTAAGCCTGATAAACTAGCTTGCATCCACCCTTTATATACTCCATGAGCTGCACTCACCAAATTCACACAAATCTGCATGTTTAGTAAGGTGGCCAAGAAGAGCAAATTGATGTCAAGACATCTGTCAGTCAAATACAAAGTAATTGTGTGACCATTTTAGAGACTCAGTGCTCGCCTACTGCTCCAAAGTAGTGAGCCGCATGCATTTATACAGCCTTTAATCTTGTTGTACGCTTCAACAGCTACATGGATGCTTAAGTCTATTTAACTGACTGTATATAAATTAAATAACAAAAGGAACCTTATAAAACTGAAAATAGTCACATCAACCTTTTCACAGGAATTTTATTAGTGTATTAGTTTTTAATCATATTTATTCTTTGTTTTAATTTTCTTTAATTTGCTCATTCATCTAGCCTGATTACACTTGCAAAACCTTAGGACTTTCAGAGACTGATTACACACCCTACATAAGCCACACATTCACCCATCCAGTTTGCTGAGTCTTGTTTGCTATCAGTTACTTTACAACGCGTTTCTCCTTGCCTTGTTTCCCGTGTTTAGACCTTAGCCTTATTTATCCGTGTTCTCCTGTTTAGCCACCTGCCTTACGACCTATTGCCTGTTATGCTACTACGATTCTGGACTACCTTCATATACCTGTTTAAACCTGATTTGACCATTGCTTGCCTGACGCTGAATAAACCTGCATTGTGGATCTTGTTGTCAGTGTCACTCCTCCGTCGTGACAGAAGACTTGGTCACAACATGGATCCAGCGGGTTTCAAGATCATGGGTCTATAGAGGAATATGTGGAGGACTTCATCCAGGTAGCCCATTTAACATCTTTGGATGATTTATGCCTGATGATATTTTTTCGTGGAGGACTATCTGAACCTCTGTACTCCACAATGCCACTGCATGACCCCCATTGGACACTTGAGTTCTACATCGATGTGGCACTTCAAATGAGTGTATCCTCCTTCACCGTAGGCGAGGTGGAGGAAAACCCAAAATATGTTTTGGAGGGGGCTATAGAGAGCAAGACCCGATGGCAACGGGGCTTGCGACCAATTCTACACAGCCGGCTCACAAGATGGTCGCTCCCTGCCTGCCAGTTCACAAGATGGCTTCCTGTCCCAAGTCTGTTCCTGCTCCTTAAAGGGCATCTCCAGAGCTACCAGACCCTCCAGTGCTGCCAGAACCTCCAGAGCTACCAGACCCTCCAGTGCTGCCAGAACTTCTAGTGCTGCCAGAGGCTCCAGTGCTGCCAGAGCCGCCAGAGCTGCCAGAGCCACTGCCAATGCCAGAACCACTGCTGCCACCGCCAGAGCTGCCGCAGCCAGAGTCAACGCCGCAGCCAGAGTCGACGCAGCAGCCAGCGCCGCAGCCAGAGTTGACGACGCAGCCAGCGCCGCTGCCAGAGTCACACTGTCACACTCCAGGTCCTCCGCTGTCACACGATCCAGGGCCACTGCAGCTCCAAGCTCCAGGCCCTCCACAGCTCCACGCTCCGGATCCTCTGCAGCTCCACTCTCCGGGTCCTCTGCAGCTCCCCTCTCCGGGTCTTCCGCAGCGCCACGCTCCAGGCCCTCCGCAGCTCCACTCTCCAGGCCCTCCGCAGTTCCACGTTCCGGGTCCACTGCAACTCCACTCTCCGGGTCTTCCGCAGCTCCACGCTACAGGCCCTCCGCAGTTCCATGCTCCGGGTCCACTGCAGCTCCACTCTTCGGGTCCTCCGCAGCTCCCCGCTTCAGGTCCTCCGCAGCTCCACTATCCAGGCCTTCCGCAGCTCCACACTCCAGGCCCGCCTCAGCTCCACACCATAGGTACGCCCCAGCTGCATGGTCTTGGCCATCCATCCCTCCCCCTGTTCCGCCTCCGCTCCACCTCCCGCCTGAACTGTATTTGGAGCATCTAGAAGCCACTCTTAGAGGGGGAGGCTATGTCACAATAACCAGCGATCATTCTCCAGAGATCGCTGGTTCTCTCACAATATCCATGGACCTTCTCTTGGACTACATATGCATACATGCTCTCCGGTCACACTCACGCCTGCTCATTCATCTAGCCTGATTACACTCGCAACACCTGAGGACTTTTATAGACTGATTACACACCCTACATAAGCCACACATTCACCCATCCAGTTTGCCGAGTCTTGTTTGCTATCAGTGACATTGCAACGTGTTTCTCCTTGCCTTGTTTCCCGTGTTTAGACCTTAGCCTTATTTATCCGTGTTCTCCTGTTTAGCCTTCTGCCTTACGACCTATTGCCTGTTATACAACTACGACTCTGGACTGCCTTTATATACCTGTTTACACCTAATTTGACTATTGCTTGCCTGACGCTGAATAAACCTGTATTGTGGATCTTACCTTCTGTTGTCAGTGTCACTTCCCGCCGTTACAGAAAGTATTTTACGTTTTGCCAGTTTAGTGGCTAATTCGTATAAATTCATATCCAGTCCAGTGAAATATCCAGAGTCCAGTCATATGAAATTGTACGATTTAAAAAAAAGGCATGGCACCTAACCCTACCATCATTAGGGGATGAGCAAGTCGTACTAAATTGTACGAATTAGATTGTATGAATTCATATGAATTAGCCACTAAATCAAAAAGTTACGAATGTCTATGAGATTGTGTTGAATAAACTTGCCTTGCCTTGAAGCCCCCTGCGCTTATGCACAAGCCATTTGAAAAACCTTTCAATTGGCAATTTCTCAATTAATACATATCGGATTGTTGGTTTATTTTTGTTATCTTCATATTAGGAGTAGTGACAACATTTGTAAAATATGAAAAGTAAGACTTTCTTTTAGGTAATTATTGTAGGGTTCCATTCTATCGGCCCAACGACAGATTCAGATGAATGGTTGAAAGTTAAATGTGTGTAAGCCTTTTCTAGCGCTTCTGAAAATAATTCTTCTCTTTATTTGAATTGATTTATTTGATTGTTTCTATCTCGAAATGCAATCTGACTCCCAATTGTTATTATTTTTTTAAATTAGTAAAACATCACATTCATCAAAGTTTAATACATTTTGGATAGTTGATTATTTTAGATATAACCAATTGAGTCTATAGATGGCCAGTTCACGTAGATAGATAGATAGATAGATAGATAGATAGATAGATAGATAGATAGATAGATAGATAGATAGATAGATAGATAGATAGATAGATAGATATTCAAAATGTAATCAACAAATACTTTTAAAAAGAATTTGTGATGAAAGGTTTGAGTAATTCCTGGAATACCAAATGATGACATTAATTTATCACAAAGATATAGAGGTGATGCAATGGCGCAGTAGGTAGTAGATAGCTGTCGCCTCACAGCAAGAAGGTTGCTGGGTCGCTGGTTTGAACCTCGGCTCAGCTGGCTTTTCTGTGTGGAGTTTGCATATTCTCCCTGCATTTGCGTGGGTTTCCTCTGAATACTCTGGTTTTTCCCACAGTCCAAAGACATGCAGTACAGGTGAATTGGGTAGGCTAAATTGTCCGTAGTGTATGAGTGTGTGTGAATGTGTATGTGTGTGGATGTTTCCCAATGATGGGTTGCGGCTGGAAGAGCATCCGCTGTCTAAAAACGTGCTGGATAAGTTGGTGGTTCATTCCTCTGTGGCGACTCCGTACTAATAAAGGCACTACGCTGACAAGAAAATGAATGAATGAATGAACAAAGATATAGAAAAAAATAAAGTCAGACGTGCAGTGCATCAAAGGGTTAATTGCATGTGTCACAACAGCATACTCTTCGGTATCTGTCTTCTCTTATAAATGCAGATGTTCAACCCAACACAACTCAATTCTGTTTCCCTTATGATGACTTGCCTTCTAAATAGTCATTTTTATAATTGATAGATTGATAGATAGTCTTGAGTGCAGCTGCTACTTTTTTCTTCTGCTCATGTAAGATCTATTACCAACTTTTCATTGTCAATCTGCATTCCTCAAAGCATATCATTAGTAAAATGACATTTTAAAAAGCTTTGTATTGACTTTGCAACTCACATGCATTTTCATTTTGGTTTGTCTTCATTTACAGGTGTTTATTTGGATTTTTTCACCTTTGTGAATGAACTGTATACATGGTGGTTCTCAGACTTGTTAATTTGTTGAAGTTACATCTGTCATGGATCTGTCATCCATGGATAATTCAACATATTTCACAAACGTTATTTTGACTGGCTACATTGATATTGGTGATATTAAGTATTTGTGTTTCGTTGTTTTGATCTTGTTGTTTGCTGCAATCATTGTAGCTAATCTGTTTATTATTGGAATAATATATAAGGAGAAGTCTTTGCATGAACCCATGTATGTTTTTTTATGTAGCCTGTGTGCAAATCAACTGTGCGGCAGCTTTGCTTTATTCCCGTTTGTTTTAGGCAATATGCTACGGTCAAAAACCCCAGAAGTTCCTCTCACTGTTTGTCATGCTCAGATATTTGCTTTGTACACTTATGGACAGGTAGAATTCTGTAATTTAGCCATGATGTCTTATGACCGCTATGTAGCTATCTGTCACCCTTTGGAATATCACAGAATCATGTCTCCTGCCAGGACAATGACACTAATTGCTCTTGGGTGGTCGCTACAAATTATCATATTCTCCCTTTCTTTTTCTGTCAACGTACAGCTCAAACTGTGTGGAAATGTTCTGGATAAAGTGTGGTGTGACCAGTACATGCTTGTGAAACTGGCATGCTCAGACACAACACCTAACAACATCGCTGGCATGACCGGCATCGCAGTTACCATTGGCGCACCACTGCTATTAATTCTGTTCTCATATGCAAAAATTTTAAGAGTGTGCCTAAAGTTCAAAGGACAAACAGCCCAAAAGTCTCTGTACACATGTATTCTGCATCTCATCTCACTGCTGAATTTCGCTGTTGGTTGTTCGTTTGAGCTGATCCAAAGCAGATTTGGTAAGCTTCCCATGCCTGCTGTAGTGCGTGTGATTCTCTCACTTTATTTCCTAGTGTGTCCACCATTGTTCAACCCTATCATGTATGGCGTAAGGCTTGCTAATATAAAAAAGGCACTTAAAAAAATGATTTGCATGTAGGCTAGAAAAATATACCGAAGAATTTGTGAAATTCTGTAGGTGCACACAAAAAGGTTGCATGTATTTATAAAAATAAAAGATTAACTAAAGATTAAGATAATACTATTATTACTAGGATTCTGTGCTAAGTGTTTGAAAATGATATAAAATGAAACAATGGTGATTTCGACATATTGTGCATGATCTTTTGGTGTTCTTTTCAAAACGTAATAAAAATATAGACCTTTAACAAAATATTATGTTAGTTGTGTGTCAGTGTTAAATCTGCAGGCTGAGAGTTCAGGGATCAAAGTTGCTTCTATGAGTAAATTATTCAGGAGTTTTGAATCTCTGTTAAGCAGGGGTGTCAAACTCACTTCCTGGAGAGCCGAAGCCCTGCACAGTTTAGTTCCAACCCTGTTCCAACACACTTACCTGTAGGCTTCAAACAAGCCTGAAGGACTCCATTAGTTTGATCAGGTGTGTTTAATTATTATGTTGGCTTGAGAAAGCCAACATACTGTTATACTACTCTGTCCTTGAAAACAAACGTATCTCCTCCTAGGCCGTTCATGCCACAAGGCCCAAATGTGGTCAAAATGTGCCTTCTACATTCAAGATTGTTGCTATATCTCCTCATGCCTATAAGACTTATTGTTTTTTTAATAAAAAATTTTAAATATTAAATTTTTATAATCCGAGCATAAAAAAAATTATACAAGCCCCAAATTTGGCCAAAAGCTGTATTTAGATGTGTTAGATTTTGTTGCTATATCTTTAAGGTTTATTAGACTTATAGTTTTCCAATAAATAATTTTTAAGCATTATTTTTCTCAAAATATGGCAAGCCATTTTTGACTTAAACTCCATATTTTTTACTGATATGGCAAGCCATTTTTGACTTAAACTCCATATTTTTTACTGATATGGCAAGCCATTTTTGACTTAAACTCCATATTTTTTACTGATATGGCAAGCCATTTTTGCATGTATCACTTTCACACTTATTAAGCATTGTATTTTCAAAAAAATACGGCAAGCTATTTTTACATAATGTTCATTCCCTTAGTCCCTTTATTAATCAGGGGTCGCCACAACAGAATGAACCACCAACTTATCCAGCATTTGTTTTACACAGCGAATTCCCTTCCAGCCGCAACCCAACACCAGGAATACATAATGTTCAAGTCCAGTTTTTGACACTCATAAAGACTGTCATAGAAACATTGGGGTTGATTAAGATCCTTCATTTTGCCAAGAAGCTTTGATGTATCATCACTAACCTGTCAAATGTCCCCATAGCAATAAAACAGTATAACCTAGCAACCATTTAAAAATAGCAATATCTCTACATCAGAACATCGTAGGGACCTGGGCATTGGCTTGTTTGACTCATGCTAGCAAATGGGACTTCCTGTGTACTATGCATGGTAACAATGATAATGGAAGCCAAGTGCTAATAACGATTAGCTACATGCTATGAATGATTATCTAAATGCAATAACATATGCTAGAAATGCCTACTAAGTATTAGCATTTGATCAAACATGTACACGAGCATTGCCATTTAGCAACTGCTTAGCAACTACCTAACAATGCCATAATTGTTTTAGCAACTGCCTAGCAACCACTTAGCAACCGCCGCCGTCCTTCCTGCAAACTGCCATTCCCAGTCCTAACGCAGTCACGTTGGCTTTCTCAAGCCAACATCAAAGTTTATCAATGAACTTTAGGTTCTAGTTAGGGTTGGAACTAAACTGTGCAGGGTAAAGTCTAGATCGGATATGCGGATATGTGATATACTGTGATGGTTGGGTTTAGGGTTGGGTTGGGGGTAGGCGTCAAAAAATACATTTTATTGGGTAATTTAATAGATAACATAACTAATACTCGGTACAACAATAGTAGTAAATAAAAGTAGTAGTAGTAAACAATAAATAGTAAATAGTAATAAAAGCTATTTTTGTTAAAGTTTAGTTCATTTCTTAAGTGCTGATTACAGAGATTTTTTTACAATAGCTTTAATGACTAAGTTCTAATAACTTATTACTTTTGTCTTTTGCAATGATAACAGTGCATAATATTTTACAAGATGTTTTGCAAGATACTGGTATTCAGTTTAAAGTGAAACATAAAGGGTTAACTAGGTTGATTTATCCATCTCTTAATGACATCATAATTAAAATGAAGTAAATTTTACTTAAAAATACAGTCTAACAGGGCATTGCATCACAAATAAGTCATTCCTGTAGCAAGAATAAATGCTATTAAAGGGGAAATGAAGCACTCGGTCAAGTTTACCTTATTTTGTACATTGGATTCCACTTTAATGAAAATATATTAAACAAACTCAATTAATCTAACCATTTAGCAGAAAACGGCGGGTTTTACTATAGATTTTAGACCTAGGGCACCGCCATCTTGGAATGTCGCTGTGTCTGACGTCACCGGCTTGGTTGAGTTTCATCCGCTGAACACAAACAATGGAAGTAAAGGAGACTGTAAAGCCTAATTTAACCCAATGCGGGAAGTTGTGGACGTGGAGCTGCTGCAAAAACAAGCATCAGATGTGTGTCTAATATAAAAGTATAGATATTGTTTTTCTTTTTTACCCTTTTAACTACCGATCATTTGATGCGCTTTGATTCACTCTCTGTATTACGCTGCCTGACTGCCTGTCTGGGTTTTCACCATGATTGTAACGGACTGAACACAGAGACTGAACAGCCTAATTTAACCCAATGCACTAATTTAACCCAAGTTGTGGACGTACATCACAGAGCTGCTGTAAATGCAACATACATCAGTAGTGATTCACTCTCTGTATTATGCTGCCTGACTTCAACTAGGTCCGGTGGTGAAGTAAAGGGGGCGGGTACTTTTACTTTTCACTTCAACACCCCCTCACCTCTGCCGATACCTGTAGGATATTTGGTGTGCTAAATATCTGGATCTGTCGGCAACTAAAATCATGTCGTTCAAAATGAGTTTTACCTGAAAATAACATCAGCGATTACTTACAGCCAATGAGAGAGCAGCATTCACTTGTGTGTGTACCTGCAGGCCAGTAGGAGGTTGAGGGAGAGGTTAAAATCGCTCATTTTCGGTTTATTTGGACCCAAGAAATGGAGGAAAAGCTAGTAGAGGTTTGACAGGAGCACCTGTGTCTGTGTGACGTTTTATACAGAAAGTTAAATAAGAAAGTTGAGGAGAAACTGCTAATTCCCTTCAAACCCAGGTGAGCAAATATGTACATTTTCTACCACATTAAAGGCTTCTTTCTCTATATGTAGTTAATAACAAAAGATATAACGTAGACTAACCATATTCCGTACACAACGATGTTCCGTACAGATGACCTTTTAACGTTAATCTCTGAATAAATACTTATGGGTCGTAGGCAAGCTATGTATCTGTGTAATCTTTAATTCTCACTCTTTCAGCCCCAACCACAACAGAGACATTCCTACTATATGTTTCAGAGTAAAATCAGTAAGTTTGCTACGTCCACCTAATGCGCTTGAAAATAGAAAGTGGGCAAGCTTAAAGTGCGAGTGTCGCCTGGGAGGGGAGACATTTAAAGCCCCGACAATATGCTTTTGCATTTAATTTATGCATCACACAGCATTACAGTCTTTATGAAGTGAATATTATGTTATCACAAATTGTTAAATAAATTATCTTTTGTTGAATAAATGCTTTGAAATGGGGATGTTTAAACATCAATTGTGGGTAAATACCGCATGTCGCAACTCTCCGCCTGAGAGACAGGCTGCAAACGCTGTTTGGATCCTCCTATTGCAGTAATGATGTTTATATTCATAAAAGGTCAGTCAGGTTAGCGTCAATGTGCATGAATTTAATGTTTTAATATTTTACATTTTCATGCTGTAATAAAATAAACATGATATAAAAAGTTAATGATTTTGAAGCTATTTCATTTAAAACCTTCATAAAAGAGTTATTTAATAAATCATTAACTTCAAGTTAAACACAATAATAGTATATTCTGACATAAGATTTTAATAAGACTTCAAACAATGCCCATTTTTGCCAGTAAATTAAAGTTATGCGCCCTGTACGGAACACTATTTTAGTCGTGTACAGAACACCGTTAATACCTATCATCTTCCGTACACATGCGAAGACGGTACTTATCCCATCTTTTCTCAAAAACTACTGGTCCAAAAGACATCAATCAAGATTTGGATTTTGCAATAGGTATTCCTCCCAGAGAATGAACACACAAGCATTCTTATCTGGCTTTCAATGACGGAGGAGTGGTCGTTTGAGTGCGCTGAATAGCGAAAAGTGTACGGAACATGGTTAGTCTACGTTACTACGTGTTTTTGGCTGTAAGATGTAGTTTGGATGAAGTTGTCGGCGATTCTTCCTATTATAAAGTCATGCAGTGTGAAATCCTCAGTCACCGATCCATCTTGCAGTGTAAACAAAGCAGCGATAAAACGCTAGCCTAGATAGTAATGCAGTGTGAAAACATCTGTGATATGACCACTTTGAAAATCATGCAGTCTGAACTTGGCATTAGAATGGATTTTGAGATTTGTAACTAGACCCTTTCATGCTAAAACATACACAATACATGCTGACAAAATTTCAAAAAAGTTAAAAAAAAAAAAAGCATGATAGGACCTCTTTCAAAATATAGATAATGCATTTAAGTGTTAAACATCAATTAGGTATTAAGCTTTAATCATGTAATGTCCATCTTAAATTAATTATTTAATCAGCCACGTCAACATCCCCTTGTGTTTTTACTGTGTTATAAATTCAGATGCTTCACCAGCACTATTAAACTCTTATTCTTCAGTGTGATGAAATCTGCCTTTGGTTATTTTATATGTGTTAGGCTTTGCCTTGATTGAAGCAACTGATGAAATGAAAGCATTTCACAAATTAAGCTTTTATTAAAACTGATCTGCATAGAAGGAATTAGTGAGGCGTAGTTTTCTTTCTCAGTCAGAACAGGAAATATTAATATGGAAAACGGTGCAAATTTTACATTCATCAGATTGACTGGATATCTTAACTTGAATTTCAAGATGAAGTACTTCTTGTTTGCTGTCTTGACTGTGCTGTATTCAACAATCATCTTCGCCAACAGCTTTCTTATCGGTGTTATTTGTTTAGCAAAAATCCTTCATAAGCCAATGTACATGTTTCTCTGTAGTTTGTTTGTCAATGAACTGTACGGCAGCACGGCTTTATTTCCTTCACTCCAAGTTAATCTGCTTTTAAATGACAACACTATTTCTCTAGTTTATTGTTATTTACAGATATTTTGCTTGTGCACATATGCAATGATAGAATTTTGTAACTTAGCAGTCATGTCTTTTGATAGATATGTGTCGATCTGTTATCCATTACAGTATAACAGAATCATGACTCCTTTTAGAGTGGGTTTGTTAATTGCCTTGGTGTGGATCTACTGTTTCATTGGATTTTTTATATTATTATCTTTTAATTCGAAGTCGCAACTGTGTGGAAATGTAATGGAGAAAGTTTGGTGTGACAACTACTTATTTGTGAACCTTGCATGTTCAAAATCCTCTTTGCATAATGCTTATGGCATTTATCTAACTGTGATGACGGCAGTGATTCCATTAGCACTCATTTTCTATTCATATACAAGAATTATCAAAATTTGTTTGAGTTTTTCTAAAGAAGCTAAGAAGAAAGCTCTAAGCACATGTACACCACACATTATATCTCTGTTAAACTTTACATTTGGCTGCTTCTTTGAAACACTTCAAAGCAGGTTTGATGAAATCAGAACGCCTGCTCTGATACGTGTAATTGTTTCACTATATCTCTTGATGTGTCAACCACTGCTTAACCCTATTTTGTATGCAGTAAGACTGAAAAATATTAGACTAGTATGTAAAAACTTGGTTCTATCAAAAATAGGTATTGCATAAACTTTTTTTATCATTTAAGAACTGTCATTGTGGTATTTCAGTGTTTCAGAGATTAAGCTAGCAGGTTTTTTTTTTTTTTAAATATATACATGTATTTATTTATGTATCTATTTTTGGTCATTTTAAATAGTGTTCATCACAAATATATACAAATATATACTGTATGTATATATATATATATATATATATATATATATATATATATATATATATATATATATATATATATATATATATACATACATATATATATATATATATATATATAATGGCACTATTCAAAATTATTTTTAATCAGACCTTATGAACGTTTTAATGACATTACAATATTACTATAAATTAAGTGTTTAATCCTTTGTTAAACAAGTCTTTTCTTTATTTTATACTTCTGTATATCAATTAAATATTTGGCGAAGTTATTTTATTGTAATATAATATACACAACTTAATATTCAGTTATAAGGACTACCTTATAAGTGTTAGTTGATAAAATTATTGTAGTGTAAATGCATACTTCCAATGTGCAAGCATTTTAACACTCCTATGCATAACCCTGTAATACATGAATTATACTTTTACACTTCTGGAAGATTTAATAAAGCAGATTAGCAAACTAAATAAAAATAGCAAATTGCAGAGAATCACATAGAAAATCTAATATTTATCGAGAAACTGGTACTCTTTTCAACTGAAAATGTGCTTCAAATATTTAATTACATAGTTGGCCCTCCTCAAATATGTCTTAAGTATTTTATTAGACAATTGTGTGTGTGTTAGTCTCTTTACACAAAAAACTGTGGTGGTTTTCTTGTAGTCCAGGGGTGTCCAAACTCAGCTCTGGAGGGCCGGTGTCCCGCAGATTTTAGCTCAAACTTGCTTCAACATACCTGCAAGGATGTTTCTAGACTGCCCAGTAAGAGCTTGATTAGCTAGGCCAGCTGTGTCTGATTGGGATTGGGAACTCAGCTTTGCAGGACACCGGCCCTCCAGGACCGAGTTTGGACACCCCTGTTGTAGACCATTTTTGCAATGACCAATTTCCTTTTCTCTCTCTATGTGAAAATTCAAGTATCAGTTGCTAGTGCTTGTGACGAAGTGGTGGGCATTAGGCCAGGCATACATTGTGCAATTTCTTTGCCATTTCAGCATGGTATCAACTTACGGGAAAATCACATGTGATGCGGCCTAATTCAGGGGTGTCCAAACTCGGTCCTGGAGGGCCGGTGTCCTCCTAAGTTTAGCTCCAACTTGCTTCAACACACCTGCCAGGAAGTTTCTAGTATATCTACAAAGAGCTTGATTAGCTGGTACAGGTGTGTTTGATTAGGGTTGGAGCTAAACTCTCCAGGACACCGGCCCTCCAGGACAGAGTTTGGACACCCCTGTACTAGGCCTTCTAGAAACATTCTTGCAAGTGTGTTGAAGCAAGCTGGAGCTAAAATCTGCATGATGCCGGCCCTTCAGGACCAAGTTTGGATACTAACTGGTCTGATTGGTGCTTTCACATCTGTAGTTCGCTTTATTTGTTCCGGACCAAGGGCAATAAATGATACACTGTTGCATTTTCTGCCGTCATTGGGTCGTTTTCACACCACACTGCTGGCTTTGGTCCGAACCAGTTGAAAAGAACCAAAATGCAGTCATCTGACAATATCCACATCACTCATTTGCCAGATGTTGTTGAATATAATTCCTAAACTGCTTATTGATTGGTCAGAATTTACGTGAGGGAAAATGCCAATGAACTCCCGCAGGTAAACAAACCGGAAGACACAAAATGTCGCTTTTTACTATGGAGGGACGACTGCGCTGACTGATTGTATGCCTGCTTTGGACAAACTATACATTTTGAGAATGAAGCGCGGCCGAGGCTGGACAACAATGTTTTAATGCATCGCTTGTCACTTCAGTAGGAGTAAATAAATTTAGCTAAACTGCGACATGGTCATCTTGTGGAAATATTACCAACGATCCATCAGGTAATGTTTTTCCCCCTCTCTCTCTGTGTTGGTAAAGCGCTGTCAACAAATATTTTTCCTCCATATCAAATAATGCACAGCGCATCGGCCTACGGCAGCTGGATTAGTCCAAAAGGCGCAGTACTTTTTGCAGTTGGGTCTGTTTTAGTTCAGATCATATTCTCAAAAATAAGATTCAAGTGTCATGTGTTGATTTCATATGCACAGTGTAAGCAGTCAAGTGACGACTAAAGCTGTGTTCACACCAAACGCGGAACACGTGGATAAATCACAATATTCGCGCGTAAATAGTCGCGTGAACATTTAAGGTTACTCGCTTCATTCGCGCGTCAAACCCCGCTTCATCCAAATTCACTTCAGAACAGACGCGGATTCGCGTGATGTGCAGGGCTTCTGTCTGCCCAGTGACTCTAGCTTCATAGCTAAAGGGCTAACATGGATTTTATGAAGAAAATAACAGTGTTTATGTGCTTTATGAAGGATGATAAACAGCGTCGATATGTTTAGAGCTGTGTCTGAGTCCACTACATCCTTTCAGAGGTGCATCCAGATCTGTGAGCTCATAAACTCCTCCAGAAACTGAAACTGGCTGATGGAGGTTTTCAGCGGTGCTTCAGACTGAGCCCAGCCCAGTTTGATGAACTTCTTGTCGGTGTCTGCTGGGGTATTTCCCCTGGGACACCGACAACAAGCGATACGTCACAATCACGCCCCCACAAGAGCAAGCTCCTGATTGGTTAACGCGGCGCGAATGTCTGCTAAAGTTCAGATTTTCGAATGCGAGTGATTCGGGCGAAACGCGCATTAAGCACGTTAAACACTCAAAACTCTCAATTCACGCCACGCCATTCGCACCGCGCATTTCTCGTCATTCGCCCCGAGCCATTCGCGCGTATCGCGCCGCAGGATGTCTATTCGCGCGTTTGCATTGACTTAACATGTAAATCACTCGTGCTTGATGCGCGTTCCGCGTCTGGTGTGAACGCAGCATAAGGGTGCTTTCACACGTGCCTTATTTAGTTTGGTTGAATCACACTAGAGTTCGTTTTCCCCCTTGGTGCGGTTCATTTGGGTAGGTATGAATGCAGCAATAGTACTTGAGTGCGCATCAAAAGCGGACCAAAAAATTGTATCGAGATCTGCTTGAAGAGGCTTTCAAACGAACCCTGGAGCAATTAGTGTGTGTGCACTGTATAAATATTCCATGTAATCACTTCTGAATAGCTTCAGGTGTGTGAGCAAGTGATTAAAGGCTCGTTTACACTGCCATTTAAATGTAACCCAATTTCGATTATTTTTTTTTTTTGGAGGAGAAAAGTGGTCATTCACCAGAATTTGCTCCCACCAGACCTGAGATCTCTCTCATAGCTACAAATTCCTCCCCTACTAAAAAAAAATAGCTTAAACCAGCCTAGGCTGGTTGGCTGGTTTTAGCTGGTCAACCAGGCTGGTTTTAGAGTGGTTTTGGCCACTTCCAGGTTGGTTTCCAGCCATTTCCAGCCTAGTCTTTGCTGGTCAGGCTGGGAGATGACCAGCTAACACAAACTTGACCAGCCTAGGCAGGCTGGGAGGCCAGCCAAAACCAGCTATGTACAGCTTAAACCAGGCTGGTCAACCTGGTTCTAGCTGATTTTAGCTGGTTTTAGCTGGTCAATTCCAGCCTGACCAGCTAAGACCAGGCTGGAAATGGCTGGAAACCAGCCTGGAAGTGGCCAAAACCCCTTTAAAACCAGACTGGTCAGCCAGCTAAAACCAGCCAACCAGCTTAGGCTGGTTTAAGCAGTTTTTTCAGCAGGGTCTGAATGGTGGAGGGCACCATCTATAAACCAAAGGCTCATACTGCAATGACTGCCCTTTCCCTCCTCCTCAAAATAATTTTAAATTTGGGCGAACTTCACATATTTTGCAGAGCTAAAAGCAAGACAGTTTCTTCCATTGTGGCTAGTGTGGTGCAGATGCAAAACCCACCTTAACGCATACACGACATTGTAAATTGTATGGCAAGTGTAAATGCATGAATTGAATATGGGTCACAACTAAAAGAATGTGTAAACGCACAGGCAAAAAAAATAGGCAACAAATCAGAATTGGGCATCAAGACCTGACAGTGTAAACGTATGAAGTGCATGATGGAATTTGTAGTTCCTGTAATGGCGGATTTGTAGTCCGGTAGTGATCTGCACATGCTGGATCACTGGTGACCGTGACAATTATGAAGAATTATAAAGGTCCAGATTTGCTTTGAATTATTCTTTCCTCAAGTTATTTACAATTACTTTGTGAAGTTTATTTATAAACTAATTTCGAGAGGATCACGTGCTTATGACTGCTTGCAGGAAATGAATATGGGCCATTTTTGAGTTGTACAGTAAAATGTTAATGTCACAAAAAATATTTTTATTAAAAATGCAATAAAGAAAAACTGTGTTAGATGTGTAGTGCATCAAAGGGTTAATTACATGAGTCACAAGAGCATCCTCTTGGGTATTTGACTTGTCTTATAAATGCAGATGTTCAACCCAATACAACTCAATTCTGTTTCTCTTATGATGACTTGTCTTCTAAATAGTCATTTTTATAATTGTTAGATTGATAGATAGTCTTGACTGCAGCTGCTACTTTTTCTTCTGCTCATGTATTTATTACCAACTTTCCACTGTCAATCTTCATTCTTCAAAACATATCATTAGTAAAATGTCATTTTCAAAAGTTGTTCATTGATTTTGCAACTTTAACAGGTGTTCATTTGGATTTTATCTCCTTTGTGAATGATTTGTATACATGGTGATTGTCAGAGCTGTTAATTTGTCATCCATGGATAATTCAACATATTTCACAACGGTTATTTTGACTGGCTACATTGATATTGGTGATATTAAGTATTTGTGTTTTGTTGTTTTGATCTTGTTGTTTGCTGCGATCATTGTAGCTAATCTGTTTATTATTGGAATAATATATAAGGAAAAGTCTTTGCATGAACCCATGTATGTTTTTTTATGTAGCCTGTGTGCAAATCAACTGTGCGGCAGCTTTGCTTTATTCCCGTTTGTTTTAGGCAATATGCTACGGTCAAAAACCCCAGAAGTTCCTCTCACTGTTTGTCATGCTCAGATATTTGCTTTATACTCTTATGCACAAGTAGAATTCTGTAACTTAGCCATGATGTCTTATGACCGGTATGTAGCTATCTGTCACCCTTTGGAATATCACAGAATCATGTCTCCTGCCAGGACGATGACATTGATTGCTCTTGGATGGTCGCTAGAAATTATGATATTATCCTTTTCTTTTTCTGTTAATGTACAGCTCAAATTTTGTGGAAATGTTCTGGATAAAGTGTGGTGTGACCAGTACATGCTTGTGAAACTGGCATGCTCAGACACGACACCAAACAACATCATCGGCATTACTGGTATCCCACTTGCCATTGGTCCACCACTGCTAATAATTTTTTTCTCATATGCAAAAATTTTAAGAGTGTGCCTAAAGTTCACAAGACAGAAGGCCAAAAAGTCTCTGTACACATGTTCTCTGCATCTTATCACACTCCTGAATTTCACTGTTGGTTGTTCGTTTGAACTGATCCAAAGCAGATTTGGTAAGCTTCCCATTCCTGCTGTAGTGCGTGTGATTCTCTCACTTTATTTCCTAGTGTGTCCACCACTGATCAATCCTATCATGTATGGCGTAAGTCTTACTAATATAAAAAAGGCACTCAAAAAATGTATTGGCGTGTAGGCTAGAAAAATATACTGTACAATTTAGGAAATTCTTTAAAGGCACAAAGAACTTGTATGTATTTATAACAATTGTTTTATTTTTGTAAATAATATGTGGTAAATGTTTGATTATTATATAACATGGAACAACATATTGTGTTTCGACATATTCTGCATGATCTTTCAGTGTACTTTTCAAAACCCAATAAAAATATAAAAGGTACCTTTAACAAAATGGCATGTTATTTTTGTCTCTGTGTTAAATCTAAGGGCCGAGAGTTCACTGATCAAAAGAGCTTCTATAAGAAAAGAAATTCAGGTATTTTGAATCTCTATGAGAATATAATTAATATTTATACAATTGAGCAGAGGGTTTTCTTTTTAAGTTATAGACTATAGCTTTATTTAAAGATTATTTGGGTTTTGAATATTATTTTATTGGTTTCAATATTATTATTAGAATTGTTAAAATTCATTTATTCATTTTTTTGTTGGCTTAATCCCTTTATTAATCTGGGGTTGCCACAGCAGAATGAACCGCTAACTTATCCAGCAAGTTTTTACGAAGCGGATGCCCTTCCAGCTGCAACCCATCTCTGGGAAACATCCACACATACATACACACTCATACACTACGGACAATTTAGCCTACCCAATTCACCTGTACCACATGTCTGGATTGTGAGGGAAACCGGAGCACCCGGAGGAAACCCACACGAACGCAGGGAGAACATGCAAACTCCACACAGAAACGCCAACTGAGCCGAGGATCGACCCAGCAACCTTCTTGCTGTGAGGCGAACGTGCTACCCACTGCGCCACTGCGTCGCCTATTGTTAAAATTATTAATAGAAATTTTCGCAGACATTTACTTGAAAATACACTTCTTTAAAAACATAAACATAAAACTTGCATTCAAACATTTAGACATTTGGGGAAAAAAATAAACAAAATAATAAAAAAACAACAAACAACAGTCATCATTTTTTTTTTTTTTTATAATAAAATAAACATGCATTTCCCCAACCAACTACCCACCAGTGCTGTCCAACAATAAATGTAGGTACTAAAGGCATAGTAAACATATTAATCACAAGTTTGTAAAAAGGAAATAAAAGGGGACTATTTTTTTTTCAAACAACAAAACCTTGTCTATTAGGTAATATCAGATTTTTTTCCAGATGTAATGTACTGGTTAACTAGATGTGGAACTTTTTTTTTTTTTTTTTTTTTCTTGTAAAACAAAAGGATGAGTTTTTTTTTGGCAGAGATCAACCCATATGAAACAAACTGTTGTTGTACCAAAAAAATCTTTGCAAACTCCAAATATAATTAATATAGGATCTGGTTCAAACCAAAATGTCTAATGTAACTAAAAAAAGTGAAATATTTTGTTCCAGAAACTCTGTAATTTGGGACACATAACATAGGAATGAGACAGGTTAGAATCTAAGAACTGACATTTGTCACACACTGGGTACACTTCTGGAAATATTTTATTCAATTTACACTTGGAATAATGAAGCCTGAATATTATTTTTTAAATATAATATCTAGTAGAAGAATAATAGTTGAAGGCAAAATGGTATAAAACACTTTTCTGGAAGTACAGTACAGTATAGGTGCTAATGAGGCCTGCAAAGAACAAAAAAAGATAAGTAATAGTTTAAGTGATAGTTTTGTTCAATAAAAATGGTAATAAAAGCTGTTTTTGATAAAGTTTAATTCATTTAAAATATTTCCCAAGTGCTGTTTAACCAAGATATTTTTAAACATAATAGTTTAACTATAATAACTAAGTGCTTTTATTTTTTTTTCCATGATGACAGTGCATAATGTTTTACTAGATGTTTTGCCAGAGTGGTATTCAGCCTAAAGTGAAATTTAAAGGGCTAACTAGTTTAATTAGTCAGTGACGGACAGCATTTATCAATTAGGCCTTGGGTGGCGTCCTACATGAATTAATCCACCTTTTGAGAACATCATAATGACACAACAGCCATAGATTTTATTCAAAAATACAGTCGTAACAGGGCATTGCATCACAAACAAGTCATTCATGTAGCAAGAATAAACGCAGATTTTTCTACTGCAAGAAACCCAACGCACTATTCAACTGGCTACAAAAGCAAGATGCATATCATCTTAACTAATGAACCTTATTGTAAAGTGTGACCGTTACCTTTGCCAAGGACACTGACACAACCCCATACCATGACAGACCCTGGCCATTTCTCCAAAAAATACCTGAAATACTGATTCATCTGACCACAGTACATGTTTTCATCTGGTCCATTTCTAGATGTCTCCAAGCCCAGAGAAGTCAACAGCGCATCTGGACACTGTTAACATAGGGCTTCATTTTTGTCACAGTACAGTTTTAAATGGCATTTGTTGATGTAACTATGTGTTGTGGTACTTGACAAAGGTTTGCCAAAGTAGTCCTGAGTCCAGGTGGTGATATCGGATAAGGAGATCCCAATTGTTCAGCTTAAAGGGTCACGAAACACCAAAACACATTTTTTGAGCTGTTGACAGTCGTACATGTGTCCCACACTGCTAAAAACACTATTAGGACACCTATATTTCACTGAAAAGTGTAAATTGGTTGTTTTTGCGTTATTTTAAGCAAATTCGTACTTCCTGTTTGAAACGAATTTTTGAAGCTGCGTCACGGTCATGACATAATAGCGTGTATTCCAGCGTGCAGACTGGGCGTCTGTGCCAGAGTGAGTCTTATTACGTCTTACAGTGTGTTGCATTAATGCATGAGTAAGGCTTGATTCAAACCAATCAGCGCGCTCTATTGTGCAACTTCATTAATATTCATTAGTGTCACCGTGTTTACGCCACAGAGACGCCACGTTGTGTTGGCAAAACAAGCGTGAAGTGTTGCTTTTATAGTTTGCTGCCATTAAGTTTCGTTTTCATTTTCTTTCTGTGAGAGCTCAGCTGGATCACGTGTGGATTAACAGTGTACGCGACGCTCAACAACAATAACTTACGTGTCTAAGGAGGCACATTGTTTACCTGAGAGCTGTTCTCATCTGCAAAAGCTGAAATCCGGATTCGCTTGTAACGTTAGTCTCCTCTTCATAAAGACGCGGCTCTTGTTGCTGGTGATTGTCCTGTCTCTACAGATTTGGTAAGTGAGCGACCAGTGCTCTTTGTTTATTCCGTTTGTTCGTATCGAATTAAGGTAACTATTGCACTGAGTGCAAACATAGCACCGCATTTTGTGACCGGAATAACACACACGGCTTTCTGACGCTACCTGCCTTGTGCATCTAAGTTTCCGAGAAATGCAGAGTTTTTTTTTCTCTCATTCGCCGTGCGGTATCAAACATTGCATGAAAAATACACGCTTAGAGCAGTTCCTCGAATCAAATATCGCGTTTGTCGCGAGGGGCATGAATGAATTCCCTGAATGAAAGAGCCAAACTGCAGTTAAAGTCCAACATTTAATAATTTGGCAAATAATTCGACTACAGATTTCCATGTAGGTTAAACACCATCACTTTCTCCTGTGTGTGTATTTTGACTGAAACTCGCGCTCGCCCAAATAGACACTCCCACACCATCCCACTTTAGTTCCTCCGACACTCCCCCCTAAACAGAGCTGGACACGCCCACTTTTCTGACTTTTTCCAAAGTAGAGGTGTGAAAACACCCTGCTGAAACGAGGGGGTTTCATGGCCCTTTAAGCTTGCACCATTGTTCCTTATGCACTGAAATTCTTCCAGATTCCTTGAATATTTTAAATATGTTATGAAGGTGAAACATCCAAATGTCTTCATATCTTGTTTTGAAGAACATTGTTTATAACATTTCAATAATTTTTCTCACATATTTGTTTGCAAACTGGTGATTCTCAGCACATTTTTGCTCTTAAAGGACTAAACCTTTCTTGGATGCTGCTTTTGTACCAAATCATAATTATAATCACCTGTTGACATCACCTGCTTTCGTATGATCAAATCCTACTGTGTTCGCAGCTTAAGAAACATTTTTGATGCTCGGCTGCTCTCGGTGCTTTCTCTGTGCTGCTTTAAATCCCATAATGCACTGCTTCAAACAACCCAGGCTTATTTTGAAAATGTAGTCGCATGGACGTTTCTGGAAACCGTGAAATCATCCCGTGAGGTACGTATTGTTGCAGTTTTTGTTTTTGCGAGTCCACGAGAGGCCGGTGTGTGTGCTTTTTCGCATCTCAAATGTCTTTCGCGAGTGCCGTTCGCTCTCGCAATTGTTGTTCTTGCGCAAACCCACCAGAGGCCGCCGTCGAACTACCGTCTGTCCGACTGGCTGAATGATTGACTGGGCGACCGGCCAATCGGCTAACCCGCCCTCCTTCTTCCCTAAACCCAATTAATTTAACCGATTGACCCGCCCACCCACTTACGTCCCTAAACCCAACCAACAATTTACAAAAGCTGTCCAGAAAAAGAAAAGGCCTTGTCTGATTTTTACCACGTTTTCGGATTTTACCACATTCTCACCCTGTTATGAATTTGGTCACTTTATTTTTTGGATCCTGTTTTTGTCTTACCTGATTACTGGAGCCGCTCTTCCCCCGAATCGATCCCAGTCGTTGTCGTCAAAATCAGCTCCCCTCTGCATCTTAAGTCCGTCGACACCGTCCGTCATACCGTCCCGTAGCTTTTGCTTAAATGAAAGGCAGCCATATGTACCTCCGGCTACATAATTTGCGGTCTCCGGAAACGTCAGCAGGACTATGTTTTTAGAATAAGCCTGGGTTGGCTTCTGAGCTCACACTTAGGTTCTATATGAATGAACTGAAAATGCTTGCTGCAGATGAAGGCTTTGAGTAGAAAAGCACCATGAGGCTCATGCATTGGTTCCCTGCTGGAGGAAGTTTAGCAAGAGATATATGATTAAGTCTTTGTTGTGATAACCATCTTTTTGATATACTTCACATTAACGCTTTAGGTGTCACAGTAAGGATTGCCTGAACAATTTTCCCTTATCTTATTCCACATTGGTCAATGCATTTAAACTAATCAAAGTACAGGAGCTGTGTAAACTGTTGTAATCATGTTTTCATCATTAATCACGTTTAATATGCAGTTATTGCCATTTATTACAGTTCCCTTTATGAGACAGAGAAGATGCATTGTTTAAAGATAGTGTTGTGCATCATGCCAAACAACAGGATTGCAGTTTCTGTGGAGTCTTTGCTCTTAAAGTAACTATGAGGCAACTTCATTGAGCCTAAAATGTCATTACATAGTGAATATTGCTATAGGACCTTGTGTATGGCATTGAGAGAAATTAAAAAAGCAGGACACATTGTCAATGTGTGTTGTATTTGGTAAGTTCTCATGTACATTGTAAATAATTGACAGTTTGTGCATGACTGAAATCCAGCGTCCACTTCAATTTTGACATTTCTGTGCCTATTCATTAAAAAATTTGTCTTACAAAACATTAACAATTGTTTTTAGTTTGCAAAATGCATCCAGAAGGATGAATCCCTACAGTTTTTACAATGGATGGTCATTAAAAACTAAACATTGTTTCACATATTTTGATCTTGCAAGTGAGTTTTGAAATGTTGTAGTTATTCCAAAGTAAGGGCAATGAGTGTTTTGTTTTTTAATCATAACTTTGGATCATTTTATGATAACTTGCCATCCTCAGAGGACTTGACAAAACTGTGTTTTCTGTGTGAGGAATGTGATTTTATTGACTCCCTTGAACTGATTTTACAGTTGAAGTCAGAATTATTAACCCCCCGTTTATTTTTTTCCCAATTTCTGTTTAATGGAGAGCAGATTTTAAAACATTTCTAAACATAGCAGTTTTTTTAATAACAAATTTCTAATAACTGATTTATTTTATCTTTGCCATGATGACAGTAAATTATATTTGACTAGATATTTTTCAAGACACTTCTTTACAGCTTAAAGTGACATTTAAAGGCTTACCTGGTTTAATTAGGTTAACTAGGCAGGTTAGGCAGGTTATAGTATAATGATGGTTTGTTCTGTAGACTATTGGAAATAAATATAGCTTAAAGGGGCTAATAATTGTCCCTAAAATGGTGTTTAATAAATTTTAAACTGCTTTTATTCTTGCCTAAATAAAACAAATGAGACTTTCTCCATAAGAAAGAACATTATCAGACATACTGTGAAAATTGCCTTGCTCTGTTAAACATCATTTGGGAAATATTTAGAAAAAAAAAAAATCAAAGGGGCTAATAATTCTGACTTCAACTGTATATACAGTATTACTTTATGGGGGCTAAAAATATTGACCCTATTTTTTATTTATTTATTTTTTCTTGACAACTGCTTTTTTTATAAACAAACTAAATAAGAAAAATTATAGTATCACTTGTATCATGTGAAAGGTAAAAAATGTAAAAGATTCTATAATGTAGAGCAGGGGTGCTCAATCCTGTTCCTGGAGAGCCACCTTCCTGCAGATTTCAGTTGCAACCCATATTAAACACACCTGCCTGTAATTATCACATAGTGTTCAGGTCCTAATTAATTGGTTCAGGTGTGTTTGATATGGGTAGCAATTGAAATCTGCAGGAAGGTGGCTCTCCAGGAACAGGATTGGCCACCCCTGTTGTAGAGGAAACAATTCAACTGTTCGGGACAAACAAGGGACTCGTGAACAACAATATATCCCTTTAAAAAAAAAAAAAAAAAAAAAAAAACTTTGTCATTCAAAATACTGTTGACACATATTGTCTAAAGCACAATCAGACAAACAATAACAATGCGTATTACAGCAAACAAGCTTCTTGATAAATAGAATACCTTGGTATAACTTTTTTTTTGCTCTTGTTAACTGACTGTCATTGGGCAATGAAATTAGCATGATCCATACATCCTTCAAACATGATGCACCATTAAAAGTCCTCAAATGTGACGATTTACCAAAGTATAATTGCTGTATAATAGTTATCATTCATTTGTTACATGATTATAACAGTTGCACTTACTCCTGCTGTCAGAATCCTTAAGACCAATACAACTGAGCAAAAAGTATTTTAATAATAATAATAATAATAATAATAATAAAACGTTTTAATCTTCACCTTCTCCAAACAGCATTTGTGCTTTTAACTGATTCCATAATTTACCAAATCACTAAATGCATAATAAATTGCAAATTACATGAACAAATGTCTTTAAATCAAGGTTGTAATATCTTTCTTATGGTTTAATAAAACATTAAGGAGTAAATTGTCAAGGTAAGCACATACATATGAACAAGTCATTTTAGATCATTGAATTTTGTGCTCACAAACAATCATTTTACCCCAAAATATGTGTATCTCTGCTAAGACATTGTAGTGGAGAATAAGAAAACTAATGCTTTGTTTCAAGTAATGGCCATTATTTTCACAGACTAAAGTTTATTTGAACATCAGATACACATACTTTGTATGTAACTTTTTTGCATGCATACATATAATGTACAATAAATAGAAAGTCCTCATAAATAAATAAGCCATCCCAATGCTTTTACACGGTCGTAGGCATTTATTTTGAAGTAATAAACAGTGCTTCATTACACCTTTGTTCGGTCTTCAAATTAAAACCAAGAGCAAATATTTGTCTTCTAAATATTTTTGCAATGCTATTGTTTATCTCTTTTGTTCTAATTCCATATATAAGTGGATGTAAAAGTGGAGGGATGAGTATGAAATGAACTGACATGAACACATTCACTTCTTTGGAAAGACTGAAATTAAATCGATTGTATATCACAGAAAAAAGAGAAGCCAGTGAAAAATTGATAAAAGTAATCAAGTGTGGCGTGCATGTTTTTAAAGCCTTCCTCTGGGCACTTACTGAGGCTTTCAAAGAGACAAACAATATCTGCACATATGAAAAAACGACAAAGATTAGAGGTAGAACGACAAAAAGAATTACCAAACATATGCCATAAAGGTCTGCCCAGGGATTTTTGGCACAGGAGAGATTAACTACGGCTAGATTGTCACAAAACAACTTGTTTATTGTATACCTGCACACAGGCAATCTTGATGTAAGATACACCTGTATGCCCAGAGAGCAGATAGGAACAAAGTATGCTATAAAAAGCAGAAGTCTAATTTTACCCGGAGTCATAATATTATGATATTGCAAAGGCTTACAAATTGAAACATACCTATCATATGCCATTAGTGTCAATAGTGCATAAGCACATGTTCCATAAACGTTGATACAAAACACTTGTATAATACAATCGGTATACAGCATATCTTTTATATCATCCACAAGATTGTCCATTATTTTAGGAAGTACAGCAGAGGATCCGATTAGCCCATTAATAGCCAGGTTAAATAAAAATACATACATGGGCTTATGAAGAGATGCGTCCAAGCAGATCACCAGCATCAATGTTACATTTGCAACAACAGTTGTAAAATAGACTACAAGAGAGATTACAAAAACACCATAATTGAGTGCACTAGGAGGTCCATAACCGGTAAAAAACAGAGTAATGTTCAGGCTAGAAAGACTCATTTTCCTGTTGGAGAGAAAGTTATTTCACAAATGTGCAGCGCACAGTGTATTGATTCATGCATTTTACTCTTAGAACATCTATTTACCTGCTAATTCCAGACTATCTTGTCATATGAGATTATCAGTTGGTGTACAGTAGCTTTTTATTACATTTTTTGGTAAAGACACACCTCCACTGGACATAATTTGCATAAATATCCTACCCACTTTTTCCCTGCTAAACAAATTTCAGGTAATATTTGGTACAATAAGATATATATTATGAATATATTCTACAACTGTAATTAACCAATACATTTCTGCTCACCGAATGAATGAATTTGTGAATGTAGCTTTAAAATATTAGTGATATTAATAATATTTACTAAAATATTAAAATAATAAAAAATATTTACGGTGCTTTCAAGTTAATGAACAGTGAGGTTAAATCAGGTGTATCCGCTTGTTAAGTGGTGACGTGTTTGTGATGTATGTATACTGTTTCCGGGTCCAAGCCGCCATTCATTTGAGTGGAGAAATCATTCGTTTGTGATCGCGTCTTATTCCTATCACACATTAAAGTTAATTTTACATAGTCATAGTGTACAACACAATCTCTGGGCTTGCTGCATAACAAATACCAAATATTTAACAATTTATAAAACAATGAATCACTTTCTGGCCATCGGATATATAGACATATATATTGCGATCGGGACTTTCGAAAGTATTAAATCGCTTTGTAAACGCTTATTATCACCATTTCATGAGTCTCCCCATTCAGTTGAATAGAGCGCTTGGACCCGCAAGCCGCTCCGCGTGACGTCACACTTAACAAGCGAATACACTCATTGATGATCTGAAATACTATGACCAGTCATAGCTGAAGTTTAAAATCAACGATCATCTCCTAATTCAACCTCAATACCTGGATTTGTTTTAGGCAAGACTATATTATGGCCTGTTTCCACTGAGTGGTACCGTACGGTTCGGTTTGGTACGCTTTTATGGCCGTTTCCACTGTCAAAAGGCGTACCGTTCCAAACCGTACCGTACCACTTTTTCGGCACCCTTTCGAAAGGGTCCCAAACACAAGAAAGGGTACCAAAAGGCGGAGCTAGACGCGCAGCTGAACGCTATTGGTTTACAGAGATGCGTCATTCGCCAGAATGTAAACAAAGGACCCGCCATGTTTGAAATACACAGCGATAGATTACAGCGGAATTATATATTCATATACCATCGTCCTGATAAACAGCCACACAGCCATAGAGTAGAGCAGAATCTGCCCTGTTCCTCACAGTTTTATTAAGAGCCAGTCTGACGCGCGAGCGGTTTTGCTTTCTTCCTTGCGCTCGCCGCGCGTCTATATCTGAGATAAATTACTTGAGCTGATTACAATAACGTGCGCTTGATTATTGACAAGCTTTGGAAACCCGATACCATGAGAAGCTGACAAACGCGAGAATGACACATTCAGAAAGAAAAGGACAAACGCGAGAGTGGAGCTGGGAAAAAAGCTGGGAAAAAAGGAGCACGTTATTTCTTCAGCAAACATGAACAAACTGCCTTATTTTCATTTTTATCATCACCTTTTGGACTAATATGAACTGAGAATGATGGAATGACTCTCTAACAGAGTTTACGTGTGCTGCTTAGATTAACAGACACAGATGAGAGGTTTTCGCTGACTGTAGGCTATACTTTGTGTTGTTTTGAACCTAATTTGGAACAAAATGTATGATGTGTGTAGTTTTTCTGTAGTTGGTAACATATCAGAGACTGTAAGTGTCTGTGTTCATACATGTTCATTTATTTATTTTATATAATTACAGACGTTACAGTCGGCTATTTTGCTTTTTCGTCATTTATCTGCAGTTATATTCAACTCCTGTTCATAGAAAAGTTAGTATTAAACATTTATACAGAAGTAGTTGTGTGTAAAGCGTCTGTTTTGTGAGAAGTGCTTCTCATACGATATGTAAGCGACCCGTACAGCTTTACTGTAGACATTTTCTCTAGCGTAAATAACGTCGACTGAAACTTTGTCATACACCACGCCCACCAAAAGGGTACCCTTGGTAGTGGAAACGCAAGCCTGATAAAGGTGACCCGTACCGACCCGAACCGTACCAGTCAGTGGAAACGAGCCATTAGATCAATGGGAGTACGGATCAGACCACACACACACACATGTAAAAAAACTAAATCTAAATCTTGATACCATCAAGCAGACATGGTCCCACCATAGAGGTTGAATAAGGCCCAATCCCAATTCTACCCCTTAGCCCTACCCCTTACCCCTTGTTTTGTGCGTTCAAGTGAAGGAGTAGTGGTGTCCCAATTCCCTTTAGCTTGAAGGTGTAAGGCTAAGGTGAAGGGGTAGATATCCTTTCGAACTGAAATTTTTCAGGACCACACTTGAAACCAAAGGGTAAGAAAATTTCCCAAAATACCCCAGCCATAACGGCAGCATAGCTACACCCAGAAGTAAGAAGATCCACAAATTATTATTTTTTTTTGTCATTATTACGATTTTTTTATACATTCATAATCGCGTTCATGTTCTACCATCATGCTTTAAAAAAAACAGCTAAAATAAAAACCGCAAAACTTGGCTATCTAAAATCCGTATGTGGAGTGGTGAGCGTGATCGAACACCCAATAAGGGGGGAGAGCATGCTCGGAGCCCGGCGGCTAATCAGCAGGTCAATCAGAAATGATAAATAACACCTGTCTTTCTAGTGATTGGGCCGGAGAGACTCCCCTCTTAAGGAGAACGGGAGGAGCAGTCGAGAGAGGAGGGAGCACACACACACACACACACACACACACACATACAGTTTCTCGTGTGGTGGTTGCAATTAAAAAATAAAAAGATTTACTTACCTGAATCACCGACCCTGTCTTCTTCTTCCCACACCGTAATAATAACTCATTATTGTCAACATTCTGTCACTGGATGACACTCAAATACCCTGTCTAAAAAGTCTAGTGGCTGGGAATAACCTTTTTACAGTGTCTGCTATAATGTTAATGTTGTTTTTTGTGTGTTTACATAGATGAATATGGCCACTTTGTAAATGCACAGTACAGTTGCGATCTTATTGCCACATTAGATCATTATGATAACATGATATATGGCTTCAGTGGTTTCCTGAAGATAAATACCAAAAAAATAACTCAACTCGAATAACTACAGCAGTCGCGATCATCTGATCTCATATGAAGCAAGAGTTCGTCATGACCTGTGCAGATGCTGCAGTGCTGTCCCATTTCTTAGGGGTAAATTTTGAAGGCGTACCCCTTCACACTCTGTTTCAAGAGCCAAGGGGGAGGGGTAAGGTACAAAATCAATTGGGATTGGGAATTGGGATTAGCAATTGGGATTAGCTGCATGCAAATATAATATGAGCAAGCATTAGAAGGCTGATATATTTTCACATAGATAACAACAAGAATGTGCTGACATAAGAAATTTGTATCCTACTCAAAAACCTATAAACAGAATCTGATTCGAAGCTCTCTCTGCTTCAAATGCCGCTCTATAATCAGATTAATAATAGTGCCAATGATCACCCATGTCCACTGTGGTTGAAAATGGACATGCAAGGATCAGAACTAGATCTCAAAGCTCCTTGCTTCAACTGAGGTCTCATTTGTTCTATTAGGGGACTTCATCACTAGGGGTGTCACGATTTCGATTTTTAATCGAAATCGATCGAAATTTATGCTCAATTTCGATTATCGAATCAAAAAATAGAATTGTCGATGCTGCCACGCCCCCATGTCACGTCAGCTTGGCTTGCCAAGCGGGAAAAAAACTGGCTTGTTGAAGTGCTTGTTAAACTGCAGAAGCAGGAGACCCATCGACAGAGCTTAAACCCTCTCCTCTTTCAATGAAGTCGCCGGTGTGTAAGCATTTTGGATTGCCAGTGAGTTATGTTGACAACGTTCATGTTGTCGACAAAAAAAAAACACAGTTTTGCAAGCTCTGCTATGTACGTATTGCGTACGGTTCGTCCGATAGACAACACCAGCATCGCGATCCTCCGCCCGCCCCCGTTGCAAATCCGCTCGCGAAAAGTACACACTCAGGCCCTGTTTACACTGTCTTTGTTTTTAAATGGCATTTTAGAACGACAACGATTTGACATCCACAGTGGTGTGTAGCATTTCTGAGCAGCCCTCCTTCCTCTCTACCTCTGAAAATGCACATCACGTGACCACACAGACACAGACGCACACAGCCATGCGCTCCAGACAGCAGGTCCAGGCAGTCAGAGGACTGCTTCAATCTTTCACTCACTTGTATTTAGTCAGTTTAGCGCACACCTCAGATACTGTTGGCTGGTTCTTGTTGGTTGTGCGTCTTTTTTTACCGATGCCATTATAACGACACAGATCACTGCCTATTCACGAGTCCCGCAGAAAAAAGTGATTGACAGGTGGTACTGATGTGTGTATCTTGTCTTTATTCATTTACTGTATGATTTGTTTATGGGTAAAACAAAGACCATGCAGGTCAGGTAGTTTAAACGGTAGGCTACAAATAATTAATTGGTCATTAATTAATTAATTATTCATAATCGAAAATCTAATCGAATCGTGCCTTTAGAATCGAAAATGTAATCGAATCGAGGATTTGGAGGATCGTGACACCCTTATTCATCATCCACATGATCAGTGATATTGATACCTGGAGAGGCATGCTAGGAACACATAGCACCAGGATACCCTAGTCCAGTGGATAATCAAACTTGTAGTGATTTCATCTTATCTTTGAATATACAGTATGTTTCGACACTCAGGTAAAGAGAGGGACAGAGCTGTCAACCGATCTCCACATGGCCTGACCCATGTCAGTGGGATTTTTAACTTTCACCTCAAAAAGAGGGTGGCTGGAGACTGAGTAAAGCTGAAGAAGGAGTCCTACCAGATCTGGTGAGCTCTTGCAGCCTAGGCAATCGTGGAAGCAATTTGGAAGCAACTTGGGCCTGGGAAGAGATTGGGGAGACCATGTAAGAGGATTGTCAATCAGCCTTAAAGAGATTATATATATATAATTGGTTTTATATATTATAAATATATATATATATATATATATATATATATATATATATATATAT